GTGCTAGCATTGATACACTGCGTGTGGTGGTTGAATACGACGCAGCGAATGTGAATACGACAAGAACTATTATTTCTGGCCTTTACCTTCACCCTTGCGGCGGCTGAGCATTGCCAAACCACTTCCACTACTGCTCTCAGCAAAGCAAAGAAAACACTCATCAAATAAACAGGCTCTTCAGAGACAAAGGCCGTTTGTCAAAATACAAGACTCCCCTATCACACGCAGGGCCCAAGACCAAACTAAACCAATCCTGTCCCTCCAGCCCCCGCTTCACCGCACTTGTGAAGGACCACCCGCCCCCCTGTCCCCTTCGACTGTACCGCATATGTATCAATTTACTCGCTAGGTACTTGCCGCTATTACGAGCGCCGACCAGGTCAGGTCGTACCTGCTTCCTGCTGCCGCTACCATCGCTACCCAGGTTCCTGATCCCTCCTTCCCTCCCTTCCATCTCACTCCTTCCCTTGGCCGTTGCCGCTGGTCTTCCTTTTCCCTCTCGTCTTCCCCCACCCAACAAATCCATTTCATTCATCATCCGCGACAACGGGAAAAACCAACCCATATCGACGACGACGAGACGACCAAACGCTGTCTCTTTCAGCCACGCCTCGTCGCGGAGACGATTTCTCGCCTCGGCCTCTCGCTAATTAACTTTACTTCTTTCTTTATTATCGCCTTATTCCGTTCCTAATTCTACGCCTATTTCCTCGGCTTCACTCTCGCTATCCATCTACCCAAAGTCAGTCCAGAAGAACGTCACGTCTTTTGAAAGCCATAATTCGTCGCTATTGCCGATACTTTGTCGACCACCGCCTCCGCGGGCTTTGCTTAGACTCGTACTAGTAATCTTGACTATTGGAAGGATTGGAAGTGCACTGTCAACAACTCCGGACTTCTAAAACGACGATAACCACCTTTTGACCGAACGAAACGACTCGATCGACAAAGAATTCAATCGTCATCACTAGGATACCTGGTCACAATGTGGTCTTGCATTATGAAACCACTGGCGGTCCTCGCCTCAGTGGCTGCCCTGGCCTCGCCCGTTTCTGGAGAGAAGATTCTTTACTCCAACTCGCTCAACAGTTGCCAGAAGGACAATGGTTTCAAAGCTACGCTCTTCAACGTCGCCCTGACACCAAACAACGGCTCTGCCTTTGTCAAGGCTGTGGCAACGTCATCCATCCAGGGCAAGGTTATTTTCGATATTCGACTCTCGGCATATGGCTACCAGTTCCTTCAACAGACCGTAGACCCTTGTACAATCAATCTCGCTGGTCTTTGTCCCATGGTTTCTGGAAAAATTCCCTTCAAGTTCAACTTGCCAGTCGGCAAAGAAAATCTCAAACAAGTACCTGGAATCGCCTACAGTGTTCCCGATCTCGACGCTACCGTCCGTGTTTATGTCAATATGTCCAGCACTGGTGAGAGTGTCGCATGTGTCGAAGCTGATTTCTCCAACGGAAAGACGGTTGATCTCAAAGGTGTCAAGTGGGCTACTGCCATTATTGCCGGCCTTGGTCTGATTTCTTCTGCCGTTGTTTCCGGGGTCGGTCACGCCAACACTGCTGCTCACGTCGCTTCTAACTCGCTTTCCTTGTTTGGCTATTTTCAGGCCCAGGCCATTCTTGGTCTTACCAGCGTTGGACTCCCCCCCATCGTTTCCTCTTGGACTCAGGATTTCCAGTGGTCAATGGGAATCATTCGCGTTGGCTTCATGCAGGACATTTTTACCTGGTACCAACGAGCAACTGGCGGCACACCCGAGTCTATTTTGTACAATGTTCGTCAAGTGTCGGTTGAGGTTCAGAAGCGAAGTTTGCAGGCTGCTTCTACTAGTATCGATCTTTTCAAGCGTAGTGCCGCCATGATGCCTCGAAGTATCACGGAGCCCATTGGTCATGCTGCTGGGGCACTCGCCAAGCGCGCCAATATCCAAACCGAGGATGGCACTTATATCGTGTACGGTATTCAGCGAGTTGCTTTCAAGTCTAGGATTGAAACCACCAACTTGTTCATGACCGGCCTCACTTTCTTTTGCATTTTCGTGGTTATCACATGTCTGGCTATTGCTGCCTTCAAGGGGGTTTGTGAACTCTGCGTTCGTCAGAAGTGGATGGCCCCAGACAAGTTCTTGGAATTTCGAAACGGTTGGATGACTGTCCTCAAGGGCATCCTCTTCCGTTTGACGCTCATCGGCTTCCCTCAGATGGTCATCCTTTGTCTGTGGGAATTCACTCAACAGGATTCGCCTGCCGAAGTCGTTCTCGCTGTCTTCTTCCTCTTGGGAATGACCTTCACACTCGCTTGGGGTGCTAGCAAGGTCATCCGCATCGCTCGCCGTTCTGTCGCCATGCACCGAAACCCAGCCTATATCCTCTTCTCGGACCCCCAAGCCCTCAACAAGTGGGGCTTCCTCTACGTTCAATTCCGAGCTTCTGCTTACTACTTCATTGTTCCCGTCCTTGTCTACACTGTGGTCAAGGCCATGTTTGTTGCATTGGCTCAGAAAAACGATGTGGCGCAGGCAGTTGGGTTTATCATCATTGAGGTCGGGTTCTTAATTGCCGCCTCGGTTCTTCGACCCTGGATGGATAAGCCCACCAACTCGTTCAACATTGCCATTGCTGCTATCAACTTCATTAACGCCATCTTTCTCCTCATCTTTTCTAATGTCTTTGGGCTGCCTAAGATTGTTGTTGGTGTCGTTGGTGTCGTCTTGTTCGTTTTGAATGCTGCTTTCGCACTTATTCTTCTTCTCATGCTTATCGTCTCAACGGCCTTGGTCTTCTTCCGCAAGAACCCCGATGCCCGATACCAGTTCATGGCCGATGATCGTGCCTCGTTCATGAAGTCTCAAACCCAGGTCAACGCCACAACCGAGCTTGATGCTCTTGCCGCTACTGCCCGAGGTGACAAGGCTGGGTATAGCAACAAACACCTTGATCTCGATGAGGAGGACTCAGTGTCTTCTGAGAGCTTGAGAAGGCGGGCAGAGATGAACAACCAGTCCCAAACATCATTTCAACGGGGTGACGTTCCTCCCCGATCTCCTGTGAACCCCGCCATGCCACTTTTCCCTGCTGACGGACAACGACCGGCAAGCCCGTTCCGCAATGCGTCACCAAACCCATACCAACAGTCGGCATCAAATCTCTCTCAACAACGGTCGGCAGGTGACAGTAGCCCAGGCGGTTACAGATCACAGAACAATGCCAGGTAAGCTTTCACGCATGACGAGTAAAATGATGTACATGCTGACCTCTCTTTAGCCCTTGGCAGCGCGGTGCTGGTTACGAGCACTAATTGATGTAACCGAAGATCTCTCCATTTTTTCATGACAAGCTTACATCCGAGACCTCTATCATCGGCGAAGGCTTTGCATTTGACGAATTTTTGTTAAACACGAGCCAGCCCAACAGCATTAAACCGTTGAATTTTCCGCTGTGGACGATGATAGTTAGGTCTCGACTTAGAGCCGTTAATTGACACTGACCACGCCAAGACCGTGTTGTCTTTTTTCTTGTTTGTTTCGTCCTTTTCAAATTTCTTTTTGGATGGTTTGTCGAAAGCATGACGACGGCGTCTGCGATGAGACCTGGCGTTGGCGATTATCGAAACCCTAGTGCTCTTACGAGTATTTGCTTTGTATATATAAACAGTATTGGGAAGGAATGAGGAATGTGCTTTTTTTCACTGGATTGGGATGGCTCAGGCACCAGTTCAGGTTCGATATCTGAGAGAGTAGGCTGCAGCTTAGAAGATGTGGCAGTGGGGAGCTTGACTTCCCATTACTTGTATCCAAATAAAAAACAAAAAATTCCAATAACGGTAGTGTTTTCAGGTGAATAACAGTCGTCTTCAACAGCTTCCTAGGTCAGCCTGACGTTTAGGGGCGAACACAATCCGAGGAAATTGCGGTTTACTTTATTTGTCTATTGAAAAAAGGTCTTTCGAGCGACTGGAACTTCCGTGGCTAACGGAGAAGTAATTGTCCATGGAGCTTGTACCAAATGTACCTAAGCTCAGTACTTGGTATGGATGATGTAAAACCAGCCATCGTAGTGATTGGAAAGCCTTGCAATCTCATCCACACCCTCCATGTAACACCTAGGACATTGAAGAGGGAAATACCGAATATTCAGCCTCCCCAACGATCCTTACAAATATAATAATTATACCATATCTGAGTAGAACAGCAAGGCTTTGCGTTCAAACGAGAGGCTTTGAGATGCAGTGAGGAAGAGACAAAACAAGACTACTCTAAGTCCCGTGGTATGACTATTGATACACGAAGAATGGTATATATAAGCAAACAAGCAAGCAAACGAATCAAATTCAAGAAATGGAATTTTGTGAGACCGCAGACGACTCTGGACTAGTAGGCTTTCAAAGTCGCAAGACTTGTTGACGAGAATTTTAACAAAGGGAATACCTAGATAGATATAGTTGATAGGCTGATGAGGTTGAGGATCTCTCGTGTTCGATTCGAATCCGAAAAAAAAAGAAAAAGAAAAAAAAAGCGCAAAGGCTTGAAATAAAGTGAAGATGGAGGAAAAGAGAGATAGAAGATTATTGAGGAACGCCGTCGTCGAGTTGTGATAATGAAAAGGGCAGTGCCTGTCGCAGTTGGCGATGGATGTCGTTTGTTGTCGTGATAAATGTTTGTTAACCTCCTAGAGGTAAGCTCCCTCCATACCCCCTTTCAACGCCCACCCCTTCCTTTCCTTTAGCTCCGATGCAAATTGGGATTGTCTCACCGCCAACACCAACACCTGCCACTTGATTTCTCAGCCCTCCCATGTCAATTCATATTATCCCCCCTCACCTTTCTTTCATCTCTGCATCATCAAATCTTTATTGATAATATGAAATGCGAAGTCGCATATGAAAACCGCTGCGGCAAGTCCCGACAGCCACATACGTGTTCTCATGCAGGAACCAGGAACCAGGAACCAAAAAAATCAATAGACCCAGATTGGTTCGAATTTGAGGGGTTAAAATGCGAAACCCTGCTCCATCAGCTTGTCGACATCACCACCTGCTGCTTGCACCGCTTTCATGGCCGCCTCGCTCAATCGTCGCCTTCGTTCCATCGCCTCACGCTCTCTTCGCGCTTTGGTCTTGGAACTGCCGCTCGGCGCAACGCCTGTCATTAGGAGACCACCATCGCTGGGCGTAAAATTGACGAATCCGATCTCCCCGCCGCCTCCACTGCCGCCGCTTGCATCTCGAGATCGTCGTTGCTTGCGCATTGCTGTGGGAGTCCCAGGTACCATACCTCGACCCGAGGCGCTGCGAGCTGATGCGACGGACCCGTTGGAGCTGTGGCGCGAGTGTGCTGTGGCCGGCGTGGGTGGAATGGACGGTTGGCGTGTCTTGCGAATTGGGGAGCAGGACAAGTGTCGTGCTCCAGAAGACGGGGCTCGTGGCGGACGATGCCGTTCTGATGTTGGAGGGATAGGCGGTGGAGGGAGGTAAGTCTGAGTGTTCAACGAAAGGTCGTGACTAGGAGCCGAGGCGTTTCGTGGTTGTTGCATATGGATCATGAGGCCAGCCGAATTGGGATCGTGAACCTGATACTCGTACGGCAACTCCGCATGCTGGGCGTGCATGGCAAGATTAAGGCTGGCGTTTTTCTGTTGTTGCGGATCGGCGACAACATATTCGCCATTCTGGTTTAAAAGATTCAGATCCCACCACCCGCTTTGATGAGGATTTTGAGCCATATACTCTTGTCCCGGCCATGTCTCGGGTGCAGAACCTACCACAGCAACAGGTTGCTGGTGTGGGTGAGGGTGGACATGGGCCTGAGGATGGGGATGGGGATGTGGATGTGGATGAGGATGAGGATGTGGATGAGGATGAGGATGAGGATGAGGATGAGGATGAGGATGAGGATGAGGATGAGGATGAGGATGAGGATGAGGATGAGGATGAGGATGAGGATGAGGATGAGGATGAGGATGAGGATGAGGATGAGGATGAGGATGAGGATGAGGATGAGGATGAGGATGAGAGTGTGAGTGCGGGTGCTGCTGATGCTGCCAAGCTGACTGAGGAACTTGCGTTGCCATGTCGGGATGGTAAAGGCCAGGTTCAGTCTTGACTCCGGGAGATTCTGCTGGTGTGTGGATTCCGTTGGTACTGAAGAAGCGGAGAGAGTTGTTCGGAGGTGGCTGAGGAATTTCACTAAAGGGATCGTCACAAAACCCATGAACAAAGTTGGTGCTATCCGGCCCGCATGTCGGTGATGGGGGGAATGCGTCATTGCCGTTGCTATATTCGTAATGCTGCAGTCGCAAGGCCCGAGGAGGATTGTCCATGGTTGGAGAGCCTGGGCGGTCCATGGCAATGAGCTTCTTGGGTTTGCGAAGTTTACTGGCCTTACGAATCGTGGATGAGAGTGCCTCGACGAATTTGTTGGGTTTCCTGGCCATTGTGTTGGGTGGGGTTGGCGATGATGGTTGCGAAATAGGCACTCGCTTTCCAGGTGAAGAGTGTAATGAAATGCCATCAACTCGAGGCAGTTCTGGGTCTGACATGGAAACTCGAGGCACCAGGGGAGGCTTCTCGTCCGTCAGTCCACCGGTACTCGTAAGTGCGAGGCTTCGGGGATCAACCTCATGCGATGCACTCGCGACAGCGGATGAGGCTGGCTGAGAGGGGATTGTCGCGTCGACCTGAGAACTGCAGGAGAAGAAATCGAACTCATCTTCAGTTGTTGAGACGCCCGATGAGGCAGATGCAGTGGACTCGGCGGGATGATCGAGGATAAGTCCATTTGCTAGGGTCGGCATTGATGGGTTATGGCCGTGTGGATCGGCCATAGAAGATGGGATTTCACTATCAAAGTTGAGAAACTGACCAAAGAAGTCGTTTGATCCATCGTTAGGTCCATTGTCGATATCCTGCCAGTAAAAGCCTGGGTCGCGGTCGACAGCCTCAACCCGATAGGGCAAGGTCCAAGAGGCCATTGGGATACTGGACTGTTGTTCTGCAATAGTAGTTGAAGCTGATGTGTGAGGATCCAATGGAGGTGTGGTCAGCCAAGCGAGTCACCTAGGGCTGGCAGAGAGAGTTAAGGAAGACGACGAAGATGTCGAAGTGGAAGTGAAGGTTGATGGCATGAATGAGATGAGAGCCAAAAGAATGGCAGCGGAGGGAATGAAAAGAAGGAGCCAGACCCGGAGCCTGAGGAGCCTTTGAGTGATAGTGAGAAGAGAGGCGAGAGGCCTGAGCCAGTCAGAGGCAGCAAAACAAAGTTCAAGACGAGCAACAAGGGACTCGGCCGGTAAGCGAACGAGACCTGGCAAGGCGTGGAGATGGCCAAAGTCAAGTCAATGGAGCAACGGACAAGCTAGCAACGGGTACCAGAGAAACGGGCAAGACACAGAGGCAAAAATCAAGGTTGGCCTTTACTGAGATTAGTAGCAAGATATTGATGAACAGGATCAGAATCAGGGTCATGAGAGTAAGAAAGAGAGGACTACGAATTTACTCTGGCGCAGCAACGAGACCGTTGGGTCGGGTTGCTACTTGGGAGAGGGCGATTTGAGTGCGACAGTGGGAGGAATGCACGGGGCTATGAGGGAGCATTCCATTGAGAAAGATTCTCGTGTCATTGACAGATGGTCGACCCCCCTTTGTCTGTTCTAAATGGGAATTAAAAGAGGACGATCTCTTTGTGTTGCAAATGTTGATTGATTGAACGAGTGATATGTTTATATATATTAAAAATCAGATTCAAGAAAATGAACGATACTGTCCATGGGGTTGGCGATTGAGCGTGACTGAAGAGTCATGACTGACATGACCCTCCTGAGACAGCAAGTGGTGATGCTCTGGACGCCCAAAGCCACTCGAGACTAAGTGGTAGAGGCGCTGGGACGGGTTAAAGTAGAGTTTACGGGTGTACCTACGTTAGCCTAGCATTAGCATTAGTATTTGTGGACGGGAAGGGCGAAGGCGAGAGGGGAGAGGAGAGCGTGTGAGAGTTTGAGTTGGGCCAGTTGATCATGAGCGGAGCGTTGCTTTCAACTGGACACAGGTACAGAAGCGTAGAGTTTAAGAGGTCGTTCGAATTGATCGAAAGATTGACACTATGACGTCCAGCGATGATCTCCCCATGATGGTATCGCATCGCATTACGTCTGTTGCAGCACATCATATCTATCTTGGTTTTAGTTTTGATGTTGATTCTTTTCCGGGCTGACCAAGCCCCTGCCTGTGTTCTTGTGCCCTGGTCCTGACTTTGTGTACCTTGCAGGCCGGGCAAAATAAATTGGTTGCATTGCATAGTTGCATCTGACATGACATCCAATACAGGGGGCCCTGTTGATCAGATCTGACAGGCTCTAGGCCCCCTAGGCCCGTCTCCCCTCCACTATGATTGTCGTTCAGTCCCCCCTCTCCGATCGATCATCGCCCTCACCCGACACATTCAATTAAAACAATTACATCTTCATCATGGATCTTTCTTCCGTGAATGTCTCATGTCTCATGTCAAGAATGCTCCTTCAGCCTGTCCGACCTCGTCGCCTCATCAACGCCCCCGTCCTCATGACTCTCAATAGTAAACAAATGAATTTTCTGTTTCGTCTGAGGCCTCTTAAATTACAGAATCGCTGTACCTAGAATGGTTCTCTTCCCCGTTTACCCGCGTCATTGGTGAGCCCAGACCGATGAAACTCTTTCCGGAGGCTTGCGCTGATCTGGCGTGCGGCTGTCGACGGCACCGATGAATAAATTTATATGCGACAGTCGCTCATACGATGGGCAGAGATCACTCACTGTGTGTGATGCGTGGGAAAATGAAGACGCCTTTGCCGGCTTACACGCTAGACATTGCTTACGTATCCTGATGATTTGTCAGTGGACACTCACGGCCTTGCTGAGTGGGCGTCATAATTGCCCAGCCCGGTTGGTGATGGCTTCACCAGCCGTGCCCGATAAAGATTACAAGTCATCCGATTGAAGTCCGACACATAATTGACTTCTACTTCTTGTCATTCTTCCCCTCTTCAACGTGACACCCCTGGGTTCGGAACTTCACACAAAAGGAACACCCTGCCTAACACTATGTTTAGTGTGAGAATTATACACGATTTGTTTCATTTCTTTCGTTATATCATACGGGGGATACTTTCGTCTGCTCATGGAGACCAGACGCCATGTGATGCTCTACTAACGTACAATAATACTAATACCTATATCGATTTTGTCCGTCGTACAATACAATGCAACAGTCTCATCTTGCCTCCCCGGCCATAACCCTTGAACCTTGGCCATAAATTCCCCAGCTGATGATGATGCGCCCCATGCTGGTCCTGTCTTCCAAGCATATAAGTCCCAAACGCCTTTGACATTGCCCATAAAAGAACAGAAATATTCCTGGTCATGATACCAAAACTCCAGGCTGTGGTTTCCATAAAACAAAAAAACAAACCCGAACCGGTGTCTGACCTCAAAAATACTGCAGACGCCTTTGCCCAGTCATCCATGACTGTGTCTTGGAGGGCAGATGCTTCGCTCGTGTAAATGCTCCATCCGTGTAACTCCGTGATGCCGTGAATCAGGTCCTTGAAAGAACTACTCTGTACCATGTAGCTTGCGCCCACCGTGTACGCTGTTAAGATATGTTGAGAAAGCACCGCAGATATTTTGGGTGCTTCACTGTGTTGAATTAATCATCTGCGAGGTCTGTGAATCCGAGCGGCCTCTCACGGAGCTCGCCGTAGAGTGGGGTTGCGATTGCCTGCTTCTCTTCTTGTCACGCCGTCGCATTCGAGGTACACTATGAATTGTGTTGCGGCAACGACTTGCAGCATCAGCGGATCTTCGATACCCAAGCTCGTAACGCTTCTTAATTCCGTCAGGTGTGCCAGTCGTTCTTCGCGGTACAAGTGGTTGAAGCCAAGAGAAATCATCCTCGTCTTCACAGTATCCTTCATCCACTTCAAAGCCGCCATTTGCATTGCGTCTGTACATTGACCCTGAGGCATCCCCCGGACCTTCAGCAAGAGCGGTCAGATCAACAGCAATGGGCATAAATGGATTGAAAGGCACATCAAGAGCACAGACGAACTCCTCTTGGGCTTTTGTCGGAGGATGTTTACGAGATTCCGCAGCATTCACGTCCTTGTAGGGATCAAGCTCCATGGAGTCGGAACCATGATGGCAGAGCATCAACTGAACATTGACGCAGTCATCGTCGGGCAATGAAACAGGCGAGAGAGCGGTTTCCGGAAGCCGTGTAGCCGAGCGAGAAGAGTCGTAATGGAAATGTTCCAAAGAAGAGCTGCCAAGTTGTGAAGCAAGGACATCAATTGATTGGGGTTGAAGAGGCCGAGTAGACTGGAATCCAGAGGCTGATAATGATATCAATGACGAGACGGGCGGTGAACTTGGTGGTGATAATGGTTGTCGGGCTGTTTGCGCGTTTTCGGGGGACATAATCGTAGTCGAACCTGGGCATGAAGGAGTGATATTGATATCCTGCTGGTATTGGTATCGGGGTGCCTCTGAAGGCGAGTCTCTCCACTTGTTTCCTGTGTGAGGCTCGCACATCGCTAGAGGCAGCTGGGGATGATGACTTGCCCCATGGAGTTTAAGTAATAGGGAGGTATAGTGGTTAGAACTTGAGGTGAAAGATGAAATTTAAGACGGGAATAGATGAATGGAAGATGATCAGAGGGAACAGAGACGGAAAGGGAACTAGGGAAGAGCAGGGCAGGGCAGGGCAGGACAGGTAATATGAAGGCATCCTCGTTGCGCTAGAAGAGCAGGCGGCGTTGACGCCGCTTCATTGCTGGGGTGGACCGTGGAGCGGACTATCTTATGGTGGTGGTAGTAGACTAAGGTTAGCCTTGGTACTTGTTATAGTAGGTAGGCTATCTAAGCTGCTAACTCTGTGTAGGTTATGTTTTACTGGATTTAGCTTAATGGTCCGACAGGATGGTTGGGTTTTTTTTATTAGAGGACACAGCCCATTGGATATCACTGAACAGACTACTGCATGTATCTCTGTCAGCGTGTAGTGACGTACCTGTATTTCTTTGTTTCTGGCAGATTGTCTGCGTCCATGGATGTCTCTACCGAAGGCGTAGCTGTTACGCCCGTCCAGTGACCGTCCTGCTGGAGTAATCAAGCCTCCTCCACTGCTCTAGGTTGTACCGACAGCCGGGTCTCTAAACCCGACAGCGTGTCCTAGGGTGGTCCCAGTTGCGGTGTAAGTGGAGCTACGGTCTTTTGTACAAGTTCGATTGGTTCATCGTAGCCTTGGCGACTTCTTGGCGCTCCCTCTGTTGGCGCGAGTTGCATGGATGCAAATGCACATCAGCCCATGTTCATGTCCTTTTTGTTAAGGGTGAGCCTATCAGGAGTCTCTGCACGCCTCGATGCAGTTCAGGCTCAAGTCGAGACAAGTCAAATCAGCCCTCGCAGTCGAATATAAATCAGTCTGTCCGGTAATACCACTGTCCAGTCTGTCGGAAATAGTGGATATGATTCGTTCACACATGAATTTTACTGCAGATCTTGCTAGTCCAACTGTAACGGCACAGTTCGATCTCAATCTCACCCCTGAAATCATACATGAAAAAGGGCTGACCGTCTTGGAGGGTTGTCAGCTCGAGTCTTGACCGCCCACTGGCGTCAGCGTCTGCACCACGACGCGGGATTCGACCCAAGGAGAGCCCTAAATGCCGCCTTGTTTGTTACTGTCACTGTTTCCATACCACCCCGCGTCTCCCCCTTCGCCATCACTTCAGTGGGAAAAGGGTTAATTTCTCGGCGTTATCTAGCGATTCGACCATCCCAAAGCCTAGTGCCACCCACTTCCAAGGCTCAGGTTCCTTTGCTCTGGCTTGAGTTGGTGATTCTGACATTTCAATCGGGGAGGCTCAAATCATGTTTCAGCAGGACCATCTTAACCACATCCCCGTACGGTAAAGCTGGCAATTCAAGGTGCCGTTTCCATTGACAAGGTCTTGGAATGTTTGTGCCGTGAGCATTTATCGATTACGACACAGCAGGAACAGTACAGTATCTGACAGTAGTTACGTGATACATGATACGGCACTGAGATACACAGACATCCACGATCCCATGTGCTCAGACGTCTGATAAATATTGTTAGTTGCAATTGCCACAGCGCCTCATGCTCACGATCCAACATCGAACCAACAGATCCAAATCCACAGACACTAAATGTCCGATTTCACATCCAATCGCATCTTTCCATTTCCTTGGGTCTATCCCCGCCAAGATCTTCAGCTTTCCGTTTTTCCCTTGATAGATCACCCGCTTGTATCAAAGCCAAGATAGCTTCAAAAACCTTCAACAATACCCATCTTTCTGGGCAACTTCACTAATAAGTTACCTGAAACAGTACCGTGATGCGCTATCCAGTGTCTATCAGCCCAGGTTCTATCACGTCCCTGATCACGGAGAACCAGGGAATAGCCTGGCTCTTGGCTTTCTTTAGCACTGAGCGCTAAGCTCTTGTGAGCTGAACCTCCGAAGCCATAAGTCGTTTCGGTGCCGAGTGTTAATTAATGAGTCAGGAGATGAGCAGCGATCACACAGCAGCTATTCGTGAAGCCTCACAAGATTTCCAGGGTTTCAAACAAATTGGGGTCGTGGAAGCTTGGCTTCAAAGGCGTGGCTCTGCTTCGTAAATTTGCAAGTCGGAATTGGCTTGTTAATAATCAGACGTCTGATCGCGCCGACCCCGTCGACCCCGTCGCAACAAAGACGACAGCTCATGAAAGCCTGTGACGGACCAGGAACCATTTTCGATCGGGATCAAGCTTGGCAATCAGCTACTTTAGCAGAACCAAATCGTATGCTTAGCTTGCTGCAATCTGAAGGAGCTGATTCCCTGTTTGCATACACCGCGATGCCCAAGATACCGATGTCGATCGGCTATATGTGTGCTGATCAGTTTATATCTCTGGATGTGTTTTCCGGCCAAAGAATGGATACCTTTTCTGCAACACAACTCAAAACGACATACTCGAACACTTGCTAATTGGTTCAAACGGAGCTTCACGAGGTGAGGCCTTGTCAGTCTATGCAAGTCAGCATTTCGAAACCGACGATGCGGTCCTAGAGCGCTGGTCGGCACCAGAACGGCAGAACCTATTTTTGCCCTTTGTGAACCAGTACCAACGCCAGTTCAGCGTTCTAAGGCCAAATCCAAAGACATGGTCCTGGAGCCCTACTGCATCGTTGACCGACACACTCACAATAAGCCTCATCTCCGGACCACGGTGTTGGTAATGCTACCGTTATTACTAAGAACAGGAACAAACAGGCCCGACCCAAGGTGTTGGATTGTGGAGTGCCAATGATTCGACAGCTCCTATCTAGTAACAATCAAGAGCTTGGACAATGTTTAGAAGGAGCCCGCAAGGGGCTAGGCCATCCTCTTGCCCTTATTTTCTGAACGGGACTTAGGTCTGGGCCTCTCGCAAAACTCAAGGGATCAGAAGTGAGCGGCCGCCGTGACCTCTCTATCTCGCAATGCAATGTTCCCCATGTGTTGCTATCACCGCTACTGGTATATGGTTCCTCACACCAGGTGAACTAGCTTTTTTGGTATTGCTCAGACCCAAAAACTTAAACGCAACTTGCTTCTCATATCATCACAAGCCAACATTCATCTCGAAAAGGAAATCAGCTCGCTTCGGCTATTAACCCACGGACTCAAGATGCCAGATCATGTCTCACCCAGGATTGAACTTTCAGGCTCCCTGAAACTAGAGGGATTCGTCTGACAGGGGCGGGGGGGAATGCAAGACGAAAGCAAGGGGGGACATAAAACTTGAGACTCAAATTGGTGCTAGATCGCTGGATTTTAGTGAAGGCCAGTCTTGCGCTTTCTGTCCCGAATACTGGAAGTAAAGTTATCAACCACTTGAGCTAATCTGGAAGAAACTCATCTACGATCTGCTATCCACTTTAGCCCGCTGATCTCTCTCGGGAAGTTCTGGGCCACCGATGCTTATTAGCATGAATCTCGACGCTAGGCTGTTCTGCGAAGAGCAGTAGGCATAACAATGAATGTAACGCATGGGAAGACCTGGCTGAAGTACTGCGGACTCAGGAAGGCAAACCGCTTTATCAAGTTTAGTACAGGCCAGACTATCGACGGTTTTTTGTACGATTCTTATTAATCATGCCGGGGCCTCAGCTTAACATGGTAGTTATCCATGCCTTTGGGCCAGACGCACAAATTGAGATATGTCATACTGGATGTCTTGTTTTGGGAAATTTAGTCGCTGACCTGATGTAGATATGTCGGAGCTTGCGTTCCACCTTGACGTTGCAATGCCTGTGACGTTTTATTTACTCTAGGGATGCATACAGTATTTTACTCTTCGACGAAGTGTGAGATGGGCTCTCTGCCCAGAGACGCTATTGTTGTGCCTTGGAGATGACATGCTAAACTACTATGCGAGAACGCTACTGATCTTTCGACGTCCCGGGAAAGCATGCCTCTCGCCTCGACGGAGATTACATGGCTTTTACGCTTTGATGCTGGTTACTTGTTGATGTCCCTGCATGAGACTGAAAGCCGTTCATTTGACAGGTTGTAATACGATCTGATAATCGGTACACTGGTGTTCATTCTCTAGTTCAACCTTCGTCTAGTAGTCCTCACACCCTAACTTTGGTAAGCATTATCATCAACAGTAGGCGCAGCTTAACATCCACAGCGCCAGTAAGGCAGTTCGGCGAACTTCAAAGTCCAGGATGCTGTTGAACACCAGCAGCCATAAATACCATCCTTGCAAACAAGTGGCGTCTGGCCTTCGGTTATCAAACCTGCCAGTTAGGGACAAAGTCTCTTCGACATGCATCGGTTGCAACTGTGCTTTCAATAGTCAAACTTTAAAATCACATCTACAACGCCTTGGTTCCCGTTTGGGTATCTCGTAGGTTTACCAGCGGCCGTATTGGTCCAGCCTCGCCTTGCTATGTCGAAGCCAACGGCCACGAGGTTGAGCGGCGCAAGGAATCAACGGTGGAGTTGGTTTGTTTGACGCAAGGGCCATGTTGTTCAAACGTCTAGAGAATCCTTGTTGTGGCCCAGGACTAGGGAAACACATAGGCCATTTGAATCGTCCAAGGCTGTTGTGGCGACCAAAAAGGCTCATGTGCTTCTCCAGCCATCACAGAAGAACATATCCTGCAGGGCGGAGCGGAACGGAACGGAGCGTCCATCTAATTTTTAGTGATCACTGCCTTGTGGCGCCTGAAGTGCCATCATGGGACCCACGGATGTGGTTCGGCCATAGTAGAAGAGCAGAAGGACAAAGAGCCATCTTCACAAGAGGGTCTGTTATGGGTAAGCTGAAAGCTAACTGTTCACGATAAGCACAAGATGAATTCCATCTCAGATACAGATGCCACTACCGGGTCGTGGTATTCCCGGGCCATGGAGCCATCTCAGCGTCACAAGCATGCAGTATCTCAGTGTCATTGGGCGAGTCGACTTCTAGCGTGTTCCACAATGTCGATCTTAGATCGTGTCTCCAGCAATCCATGATACTCTGCCAGATCTGGTAGGCCCGGTCAATATCCTGCCTGTTAAATTTTAGGTTCAAGGATGATTTCATCAGTTCGCACCCTTAGCACGATCGCTAACCCAGCTGAAGCACTCCCATACGTGGCTTATCGTGCTGCATGCCTAAACTTGTGGAGTTTCATGGCTGATATCCCACTCTTTTGGAGATAAAACTCTCCAGAATTGGATCCTTGGCAGACTGCTTCTCGGGCCCAAGAACAAGATGAAGCATTCATCTTGTACTGGACCTGTGGTCATGCATGTTGGGTGAACTGAGGCTCTGAGGCAGACAGGTCTGGATGGGTGTGGACAAAGCGGGTTTGGCCTCTAGGGATTCCTGTTATTAAACTTTATGATGCATAGGAGCTGAAACCGCCATGTCCTTGGCAATGGGAATAAACACATACCCCAGAAGATACCAGGAAATGGCCATGTCGATGGAATGAGGGTACCATGGGTAACGAGCCATGGCTTGTTGTAAACAAACGAAATTCGGGGTGAGATACTCGCGCCCCGGTATGCAAAGAGACTTGATGCCTCTGATTAGGATAAAAAAAAAAAAAAAAAAAACAGTTAGAGTCTAGGATTTGCTCACGTCGAACTCATCTAAAGCTGGTCCAAGATTTCCATCATCTAAAACTGAGGTTCCACGTTTTCTTGCCTCAAAACAATACCCAAGTACATCACGTGTCAAACATCGCTACTGGGCAGACACCAAGAACGGGAGACGCATCATGGCTTACCACGTGACGATATAGAATAATGGCAAATCTTGAAGTCTGAGGTCAGGTTGGTTCTTCTTTCCGTCGATTCACGGCATTTGATCCAGAGCTTCCGAATGGAGGAGAAAGTTGTGGGCTAATTTGTCTCTCAAACCAATGGGCTCATGGAGATGCTAGCTAAGCGCTGACGATGTGCCCCGCGTAGGCGCTTACAGTCAAACTGGCCACAGAGCTCATTGAACAGGGGGTCAATGACTTGATGGCACTCAGTGATTGGGCATGGTGTTGAATAGCACTCGCAGCTTGCGTTGCATTTGTATGAAGGGCGGGAACTTGGTCGTTCGTGACGCGGCCGTTTCGTTTCGACGATGAGACAAGCAAATACCGAAACAATACTGGAAGGCGCATGGCAAGGAACTATGTAGATGATGAGACTTTCTCTGAAGTTCCGTAGCTCTTCTCATTCGGGGATCTCCAACATCAAACTCCAAAACTCAAGTATCGTGGTAGATGGAACCCAATATCGATGCGGGGCTACCCTAGCTTGGCACATGTTACGGGCGGCTAAAGGAAGCAGAGTCGAGCTGTCCTAAGAGGGCTTCCTCAGGGTCTGAACATTTTCCTCCTTTCTTCATTTTATCCTGCAATTCGGAAAGTCTTATATTCTGTATATCATTGTTTTGTTGTTCGTACAAGTTATGGCGAGCCAACAGCATTACTACCCTCGTAGGTCCACATCAATTTCCATATCATGACAACGAAGCTGATCATGACACCTCAATAGCTCCGCCCGGCGCGATACAGAGCTCAACAGGTTCGCAAAGCTCTCCACAAAGACCATCTGGTAAAGCTGACCATGCAATCTTTGAACAGCTCCTCAACCGCAGCAACAGCAACATCAATACGCGCTACCACCGACCTCTCCTCCGGCTAATCGCATACAATTCTATCCTCCTCCGCCTCAACCTCAGCCTCAGCCTGGACAAGCTGTGAACTACCCTCCTCCTCCTCAACATACACCATCTCCCCAAGTTCCCCACCAGCCGACGCCGATTCACTATCCGTCTCCTCCCCAGCCTGAGCAGCAGACTCCCTCTCCACAAGCCAAGCATCACTCCCATAGTTCCTCTCAGGGCTACTATCCTCCTCCTCCAACTTCGGCACCAGCGTACCAACAGCATTTCCAGCACAACCTGCCTCAGGCAACACCTCCACCTCCGCAAAATCAGTATCATGCGCCGGGCCAACAGAGCAACTTGGCCATGAGGCCTGGGCCAACTCCTCCAGCAGCGACTCCCCAGTCTACTCAACAGAACTTCGACCCGCCCCCGCCAGTATCTCCTCTAGATGAGAACCAATACCCCATTGAGAAGCCTAAGCAGGAACCGGAACAGCAGCAACAGCAGCAGCCTGGAACTGCAGTTGCAATGACTGTGTCTGGTGCGCCTGAAGCAGGTCAATTCGTTGGGGCAGCGGCCACATCTGATGACGTTGGAACATTCAATGGTGGTAGTTACCGTATTAGCCACCGCGATACTAACACAATTCTCACTATCCAGCTCGCAATGGGCTGTCCTATGTCGGGCAAGCCAGGTGCAATGATTGCCATGTCGCCCTCTGTTACTCTGAAAGGCCAAATCAAGTTCAGCATGAAGAAGATGATCACCGGAAGTGACATGTCAAGCTCGACATACATTGGTCCAGGAGAGGTTCTTCTTGCGCCCCACAGCCTTGGTGATATCACTACCCTTCGCCTCACAGGCAAAGAGGCCTGGTCTGTAGGTCACGATGCATTTTTGGCTTGTACTCAAGGTGTTATCAAGGACTTCAAGAGACAGGGATTGGGAAAGGCTATGTTCAGTGGCGAGGGTCTCTGGGTTTATAAGATCAGTGGCGTAGGACTGTTGTGGGTTTCGAGCTTCGGTGCTATCATTCATAAGACAGTAGGTTTCTTGAACATGTTTTTCTTTTCAGGGGCTAACATATGAACTAGCTTGTCGAGGGTGAGAAGTACATCGTGGATAATGGGCATCTAATTGCCTGGAACTGCAAGTACGTCATGGAGCGTGTTGCCTCTGGAGGTATCATCTCAGGTATTGCTTCAGCAGAGGGTTTGGTTTGCAAATTTACCGGTCCTGGAACGGTCTACATGCAGACTCGGAACTCGGTAAGTGATCCGTCTGTCAACAGTCATTTCAGTCACTAACGATGCTATAGAGGGCATTTGCTGCTTTCATGGGTGGGCAGCAGTATCAGGGATAGTTGTGCTGTGAAATCATGAAGAGCATGCGAGAGCGAGAGCCTAATATTTGTGTAGTGTTTATTCTTCTTGGGCTAATCTGGAGTTTTCTTTCACTGGGTTGCTGACAATCTCTGGCTACCTCTAATTACCTACCTTCCGTACTTTGCTTTGGTTCCGCTCACAAGCCCGTGTCTATCAGATTTCCCCATAAGGTATGTTGCGGATTTGTACTATGGCAAAAGCCTTTGTACCTCTCTGCCTGTGACCGGCGCTCGAGGTTTTCTCCTTCTTGAATCAGTTCTGTCACCCAGTTGGCTTTTGAGTGTGAAGGAAAGAGTCCTTCTGTGGTGGAAAGAACAGACCAATGCCTTGCACTTAAATTCTTTCTTCCGTTGTGTATGATTACTCCCATCGCGCCTTCCACATTCTCAGCATGACTGTCATCGTAGTCATTTCACAACCTCCCTCACGTATTTGCTGTTCTCCATCTTCACCATCATAGCTTGGCCTTCATTTGCAAGACAGCCAAACGCCCCTTTTTGGACAATCTATCCCGCTATACGCAGCATTAAGACAACTTGTCTATGGCAAAGACGCCTGAACAAAAGCGGATTCACTTGTCAGCGACCGCCCCCGAAGCTTATCAAGTCCTCCTTTTTGGCATCCCATCTCTGAGAGAAGCTTAGAACCTTTGCTGCGAAGAGCCTGGCCACGCAATTTCCTGTTTACGAGTTTCAATTGCATTGTCCGTATAGTCTTACCAGTATGTTGCCCTGAAAGTTACCGATCGGTTCGCTTTTATGACTTGGGATGCTGGTTCTCTTAAGCAAAAACCAAGACTGACACTCGATATAGGCACAGCTCAACGTTTCCATTACTAAGGCTACAACTTTGGGCTAGAGATCCCCTCCTATTTTTCAGGCGTATTGAAAGAAACACCTTACGACAAACAGAATCAACGGGCTTACAACTTTAAATCCGAGACGTATGCACCGCTGAGCACCAAGACGCGCAGAGGAATCACTAGCATACTACTCTAAGCACTTGTTCTGTGTTTGTATAGAAACATACGGCATCTCTCATACTGGCAACCTTTGGCAGACTATCTGCACCGTGGCCAATTTGAGTAGGGTTCTTGCTGCATCTGACAATCCCCAGTCAACACACTGAGGCACTCAAGATTCAAATTTCGGCATGTCTTTCGAAAAGAGCTCTCGAAGCCGAATGGCTCATTCCACCATTTCAACTGACACAACCACTGACGATTCTTTTGAGGAATTATGTTTAGCACCATCTCTCTCGCGGAGGGAATACTCAGAAGAAAGCTTTGCAGGTTCAAAGTTTGCTGAAGCAATGAACAACCCAGATTGGCGTCGTCGACGCGATGGATACAGCGTTTCTGAGGTTACTGACACAACCAACAGCACAAATCAAGCCAGCCCTCGCAGTCGTGAGGTTTCCCACAAAGATATAGAAGGAGGGTCTGTCTCCTATATGAGGAATGGAAACATATCTCCATGGACCTTCGTTGACAGTGCCAATCAATTCCAGCCTTGTCTTTGCAGTTCTGAGACTGATATCAAGGACACAACTGTGTCTTCTACCAACCAAGAACATAGAGGTTTGGACCATTTCAATGTGCAGCCAGCCGATGCCATTAGTGGATTTTGTACTGTACGACTCAACATCGACCTGGTCGGTGGCCGCTACAAGGACCGCCAGCTCCGCGTTTTTCAGGTCTCACCCCTTCCTACTTATGCTGCTAGCCCACAGGAGCATGGAACGGCAATCTCGAGTATTGACCGAGAGGCTCCTATTGCTTACGTACAACGTGTAGCCAGAAAACAGCGAAGAACTAAGCAAGGAACTGATAACCGACCAGTGGAAAGATGCCGAAGTCCTCACCATATTTTCCCCACAGAGCTCAGAAATGAGAGTAAGCTCGACAAAGAAAGAACCGACAGGGCCAGGCAAGCTGTGCTCAAGGACCCAGCCGTTGCCAACATCGGTAGCACACACGTAAAATCCCAACCTAAGATACTCAGTGGCCTGCCTTCGCCAGTTGAGCAAGCCAGAAAGAGCGGAGAACTCGAACGCAGAAAAGCAGCTTTCACGAAAATTCTGCAAAAGCTCCAGCAAGGGTCGAAACATGAGACTGAGAACACCAAGAGAGATAGAAACAGGCCTTTAATCGGCCATGGTTGTCCCTGGGGTCCAAAATCAAGCCAGCAGCCGAGCTCATTTACGCAACAAAGCTCTGATTCCGGCATTGGCTCTCTATATAGTGACCCCCTGAGGAATAAGGACACTTCTAATGACTCCGGAATTCGTATTGATTCTGATGTCCTCACACACGGGTTGAACCCGAGAGCAAGGGAATTCCTGTCATTCAAAAGAAGTTTCCCGGCAACACCGCCAAGTCAGGGAGTTATCAACTTTCCAGAAGACGGACTTTCTAATAGTATGGTACTAGGTCAGAGTGAGACTAGAAACGAAGACACTGTTGGAAACACCGTAAAGACCGCATCACGTAACATGGACGACGTTTCTATCCCCCCCCTACAGTCCGGCATTGGTGTCAACAGTACAAGGGGTACTTCGGTTCCAGAGGTAACTACAGCCGACACTATCGAAGACGATCCAGGAGAGTTTAACTACTCATCAAAGATATCGCCGCCTGCCAAGTTTAGATTCCCGGGCGGTGCTTGTGACCCTCCAGTGCGAGATATCCTCCCCCCTGGAGTGCTACCTGGTCTTGGGCTGGGCGGAATCCTGGCAACGCCTGCCACGTTCGGCAACACGCCTAGCCTAGCAATGTTCGGTCCTCTTCTACAACAGTATCCGGTTGCATCAGGCCCCTTTATGGGTACTTCTGCAGCGCCCCAGGTGCTCTTTAACTCAATGCTGGGAGGTGGTTGTTTTTCAGCTCGCCCGCACCCTGTTCCCAAACCAACGAATCCTGACCCAATTCAACAGCAGCAATATGAAGAATACATTGAATGGCGTAAAGCAAATGAGCCTGGATACGCACTTGCATGCAAAGGTCGGCAACAACGCCGTGCCCAACGTGGTTCAGCCACGCAACCTGTATCAATGCATCACGCTTCGTGCGATGGAGCTCAAATGGTGCAATGATTAGTTCGAGTGATGATTGTAGGGAGAACTTTTTGGAAAAGAATGCTCTGTGGCCTTCGACTCTACCTTTGTGCAAGACAAGCACGACCCGCCCGAAAGTCTTCCTGCCTCCATCACCGAAACTTACCGGCTGAGAGGCGAACAACTTGAGAACAGTACTTTTGTTGCTTACAAATTGAATACGCTTGAGTTCGAAGCTTATTGATCCAAGATTTTGAGTTGCGCCCCTTCAACAGTGGGCTTGCGTTGATCGGCCGAAGATTGACGATGAAATGGGTATGGTTTTCTAGGAATAAAGAGGCTGCTCTTGTTTATTATATGGCATACATAATGGCGGCTAGGGATAAATAGGCCGGGTTGCTTCTAAGCAGCCATTGATCAGTGATTGATCAGAATTATCGAAGTTTAAAGAAGCGGTGGTACATAGCAAGAACAGACAGTTAGATACCTGCGTGGTACGGTTATAGGACAGGGGAATAACGATCGAGCATTAGCTAGCCAAACCCATAAAGCATGCACTTTGAATTAGTCATGATAGCATCTGATTAACTTTGTGCTAAAATGAACTGCATATGCAACCATTTCATATCTGTCACCTCTGTCATACAAGCCGCGATCATTAACTCTCCGACGAAGGTTGAGGTTGAAGCAGTCACGAGACTTGCAAATACTGACCCAATGCCAAACGTTGGAGTCTATATGGATATTGCCTGCGATTGAAACGGGCTGTGGTGTTTGTATGACTGTGTTATAGTGAAAGACTAGAGGAAATTCAGCTTTGGGGAGAACAAGCCGCTTATTGATTCCTCTTAATGCCAAACACGTAATCCCGTCATATTGAGCTCAAGGCACAGTGGCAGTGGCATCCCAGTCTACTGAAGGTTTAGAGCTCCGACTCTTCAAGACACAATAGGGTATGGTGTAACGAGTCTACCAACAGAGAAGTGAGTACTCCCATGTTTACCAGTACAGGGGATACCCCTAAAAGCTGGGCCACGGTAAGTCGTAGGTTTGACAAAGTATGATGCTCTTTGTAATCGAGAAGTGAGATATACAGGCGGCGAGGCTTTGATTCACATCTGAAGAGGAAAATGTTACGGCAACGGGATAAGAAGCTCCTATTAATTCTTGCATTCGACCCCTCCTGGTATCCATTGCCTGTGTAACATAGAACTTGAATTCAGTCCAATATTAAAAACCATCATGGTTGGGAACCTGTATATATGATGGTGGTATCATAGTTGAAGAAACGCCAAAAGAGAAACACCTTAAATGCGCATACGTTTTTTGCAACTCGTCGCCATTGCGACCCCAATTTGCAGATATATAAGAACGCATTTGTGATACCAATTCGAGAAGTACAAAACGTATAAAGATTAAGAAATGATGCACTGGTTGTATGAAGCCAATCGCGTGACCTCTAGCATTCCTCACCTTCTGCGTCCTCATCCATGCCTCCATCATGAACGCTGGTTAGCCTTGATAGCTCGGTCTTAGCCGCCTTAAGCGGTTGACATGTCTCCCATCCTTCGCTAGTGGACACAATGACACGAACGTTGGGGTGGGAAGCCCATTCCGTGAGAGCCTCGTCGTTTGTACCCCCGAAAGCGACTTGTGGCTCCTCGTTTTTGGCAGCACACTCAAGGTGAACAGCGACATGCTCCATTCGGTCATCCCAAGTCTTATGGCCGTTATTGAAGACTGCTGTGCAGTCTTTAGCTGGGCAACGCATGTAGTCTGGCAATCTGCACCGCTGTCGGAACGCTTCCTCCTGTAACTTCTTCTCCTGGACTAACCAGTCAGGAGGAAAGGTCTTGTTTTTCTTGTCAGCCTTGACAACCTCTTCAGGTGCGTGCATCCGGCGTATGTGTTGTGTGTAGAGGTCTTTTCTTTTAAAGACTCTGCAATGTGTAGCGGTACCCAAAACACCTTTCAATGGGTTTGAAGAATATCCGCAGGCACCAGTTGTACAAAGCCAGTAGTGTAGGTTCACATGCTGCGCCGAAACATGCCTTTTCCATTCGTTTTTGTTTGCAAAGGCCTGGTTACAGCCCGCAAAATGGAAGACGCAGATGAAAGGACGAGTATGCATGGCATTGATATGCTTCTCTAATGATACGTCGTCGTTGAACATTTTCTGACAATGTATGCACAGCATGCTTCCACATGATGAGAGTAGTTTTCGCGCTGTAGTACCGTGGGTAACAGGCCGTGATTTGGTAACCTTTCCTCTGCTCGTGTTGGCACTAGAACTTAGTCGTCTGGCGCGGCCACCTCGGCTGCCACCTTTGGCATTTCGAGATGACTTGGCTCTGCAATTGGGTCTGTATTCGTCGTCGCCATCGTCGCCGCCGATAGTCTCAGCTTCATCTTCGAATTTTGCGTCCACATCCATGCTGTCAGGATCGGGGTAGGCCGCCTTCGCATCGGCTTGAGGATATAATTCTAAAGGTGAAGGGTCGAAAGTTGATGGAGGGCTCGAGCCGTCGCCTTGGTAGATGGAATTGGGAGTGGCACGGTCAAAATCAGCATTCATGTCGAGAGTGAAAGCATTAATCTCTTGGTCCCCTTTGATTCCAGAGAAAGTTTGACTAGGTTCAATGACAGCCGGGTCCACACATCCTTGTGGTGCACTTGATAATCCGTACAGGGAGACACTAGGTGACAGTGAGCCTGAACCAACAATGTTCGGGGACAAGACTGCAGCATCGGACGGCGTAGACGGGCCTCGAGTGCTGGCATGTGCATCATTATCTATCCAATGGGGACTTTGAGGTCCGCTGGCCGCTGATGATGGCTGATAGGACATTGGAGAACCCTGGCGGACCTGTGAACTGTGATGAAGAGGATAACTCATATCAGGGTAGATTCCAGTATAATGAGTGTTTGGGATAGCAATGTTTGACGATGCGGTAAAGTAGTTGCTCTGAGGCTCCTGTAAATATCTCTGCATGCTGTTGGTGCCATAGTAGGTATCTTCGTGGCTGAAATAGGGTGTTGTATGTTGAAGAAGGGGATCAATTCGACCGGCGAAGTCTTGGTGATTGATTGAGTCAGAGCTGGGACAGGAGAAATAACGTGTGTTGGATAAACATCCAACCCCGTCGGTCCTCTCATGGTGTGGTTGGAAAGTCATGGTGTTAGTAGCTCCCCTTCTTTAGAGAGGTACTGTCGGTAAGGCTCCTTGTGGGAAGAGGAAAAGAGAAAGGGCACGGTATGTCCCACTTTACAGAGCGAAGAAAGCCTGGAGGGGGTATTGGCCACTGAATTGTTCAAATTCTAGCGCCGAAGTTAAGCACTATCAGTTCTGAAATGGTGAATGACCATGTATATCATGGGTGCAAGATGTGTGAGCTGGTAACGCAAGACGTTGGACATGTAAGTCAGGTAGCGCAAGCTCGGGGAACTAAGCCGAATGGGAGACTTGGTGTAAATGGGAACGGGAAAAGGCAAATCCACAAAGTGTCGACCAGAAAAGGATTGCCTGGACTGTTGACCAGAACGGAGAGGAATCGCCATGGTGGAGGGCGAGGGCACGCATCTTAAAGAATTATAAATGGCCCCCAGACTTGTATGGCCAGAAGGTCTCGCCAGCCTATCTGGAGGGTTCCACCGACGCGGGCATTGGACACTCCCTGAGTTGGTCGAGCAGAGCCGCAAGTACGTACCCCGGCCTGAAGAGGCATCGATAGAAGTGGAGCGTTGCGCTGATCCCATCTATTACTCTTCAGGACGACCTGCAGCAGCATGGGACTCCAGACCTGACCCTGGCGGCCTGGCCCTGTCACCCTTGGGATAAGATGGTGTGTGAACCGGGATGGAGCCATGAAGCTGGGGAGTACTGTATGTAGTAACAATGCCAATTTCAGTCTCGTGGCCGAGATGGGAGATTGATGACTTGTGGGATGTAGCTGCTAAGTGAGGTGGAATTTATCTCATGGGCTCGGTCCCAGGTCGGTATGCACTCGAATTCGAATAACTGTTGGACATATTCGAACTGACGACGGGTACGCGCCGTCGAGAGAAGTCATATTGAGCTTGTCTTCAGTCATTGGCGGCCATGGACAAGGCCACTAACGTTAGTCCAAGGCACACGGGGTGAGTGAGTTGAACGCCACGCGACAGGACGGTAAGGCCCGCTCAGCCGCCATGTCAGTACCGTACCGATGCGGACACGCGCCAGTGTGAGTGAGTCCAAGCATTGCTTGCAGCCGCAATGGCGATGTCGATGGCGATGCGATGCTGGCGTTGAATGTTGATAGGCGGCAGTACACGTAGAGAGCAGGAACTGTGTCTGTGCCCGAGAATGCGTAGACCAGGGGTGAGTAAAGCAAAGCACAATCCCCCCACAAGCTGTTGGCTGGCCTAAGACAATTTGATGCAAGACGTCTCTTCTTGGTGACTGTTACCTCGAATTAGGGCCATCATTGCGCGAGCGTGGATAGACGCCAAGTCAGAGAGAGCCTGCAGCGTGTTAAATCCAGTAAAATCCGCGTTAGCGGGTTAGGATCGCGATTAGTGGCGGCTAATATCTTCCAAGAATGACCCTTGAAACGCATCATGACGATTACGTGTTGTATCATATAGTCTAGTCAGGGATGAAGATGAAGATGATAATGATTTGGAGAACTCGATGAGAAAGTGCAGTATCCCCGGAATGGTGATTTTGGCGAAGCTTTCCTTGGACCCAAAAAACGAGATCGCTTACGGTCCAGGCAAATAAGATGGTGGCGATGGACGGGCCAGCGGCTTGCCCATCCACCAGCGCGAGCTGGAGCTGGAGCTGGAGGATCGACGACAGGCGTTAATGAACGTTCGTTAATGAAGGCAAGGAAGCGTCGTTCCAGCACTTAGCCTCTGTGGGCTAGCTCAGTGTCTACACGGATGAGCACCTTAAAAAAAGAAAGAAAAAAGGCGGCCATCGCCTAGATCTTGACCAATAAACAAGTATTAGAGGAGAGACTAGTGCAATGCTAGAGCCAACAGACTTACAAGCATTACCTCGCCCGAGCTGGGCTGGGTCATCGCTGTCACTGTTTGTGAGATCCCGCCCCATGCCATCCCGTCTGACACTAACACCAACAGCCAGTACCTTAGTGTACACCGTACAGTACAACTGCTGGGGGCAGGGATAGGTAAATCGGTTATACCGCACGGGTTTGGCTTTCAGCTATTAATCCTATTGGCACAAAGACCCTTGCTAGTATTGATGTTCAATGACACCCAGTTCCTAGTCTGATAGCCAAGAGTCCAACAGCAGAGTCTCGAGAATGCCTGTCCATGTACTTGAATTCTTCAGCGCCTGCTAGTTAGGTACTCGTCTATGTCATAAGGGAACAAAGGAACTCGTTTGTACCTTAATCAAGACCAAATTCTCTGCGGTTGGTGCATCGCCAGAAATTGAAAGACCAGGGCAATATGAACGAACCATGGAACCCTCCCCTGTTCGACCTCACCTGGATCCACGCACTCGGTTCATCCAGTCAGATCAAGATGCGGAGATGGCAGATGTAAGTTTACGTATTCGTACATCCATGACTCAAAATAGATAAATTCAACATCCAGCTCGCTTCAGCTAAAGTGTGGTACTCGATATGCAGTTGCCATACAATATCACGGGACAGCCCCAAGATTCATATTGGGGGCTATTAATACTTCAGCCATGCACATAACCTCGCAGACATTAATCTTGGATCTATACAACCCCCATGGCGTATTTATGCGGATGGAGGTCTAGCTATGGACTCAGCCCTGCTGCCGTATTGCCATGATTCATAATTGATATCTGTCATGAAGAACAAGGCCCGTACCCTCGACCTGCTCCCCGAACCAATAGTGAATCATGGCGGTGACTTCCCCCCAGATCCAGCTCTTCAACCTCTTCACAACCTGGCTCGAGTCATGTTAGCCCTTCACCACTCTGGATTAGAAGATGCAGCCTGTCAAGGTTAGATGTCAAGCGGAACAGTTAGCTGTCGTTTTAGACGTGAACTCATTTTCCCCCAATAATATGGCAGCTTTTTGAAATCTACCTCAAGTGTAGGGGGAACCAAAACTCTCAGTCATCCGCGTTGTCCATTTTACAACTATGGAGACGGGTCTTTCTCATGGTGATCCTCCTCATGGGTGGTGCAAAATCTTTCGGCCCCTGTAAAACACTTGATAACAGTCTTTGAGGTGCATGTATTGGCTCACTCGACCCTCGGGAGAATCTGTCTCTTCCGCATACATGGTGCAGATCTTATCTTCCGCGGGTAACCCCTGCGAGATAGCCTGTTTACTGTATTTTCTTCAGCCCCAGGCCCCTGTTTGGGGTGCATGGACCATACTAGTGGTCTCTTGTGTAACATGACATATGATGTAGACTACCCAACGCAGCTCTTGATGAAATGAACAAAAACCAGAAACTCACAGTGGTGACTTGGCTGACCCCTACGTTTCGCAGGAAACCTACCGGTATGGTTTCTTTTGTCGTCACTGAACCAATGTCAGCCTGTGGCGCACGTAGAATAGATACCCGGCGAGGCAACTCGTACGTCAGGTTCAGCTCCGAAACATCCCATCCACATAGACCTCATGGCTGGTCTTGATCACGCCCCGGGAAGGTATCCGGGGTGCCTGTTGGAGTGGCTTGAAACTGAGACAATAGTCCACGCCATGCCAGTCAGTGGTCAACTAAAGTGGAAATACGTCGTATGCACTCAGGACACTATTCAAGTATATGGACGGCACTCGAAGTTAGCCGATGTCCCTCTCTTCTTCACTTTGTTGATTTACAGGGGCTGGTTGGTAATATCCTAAAGAAGACTTTTACTTGTAATTCGTGATATATCAGGAGCATAGTTTCCCAACAGCTTATGATTACCCTAGCTATGTCGTCAGCCTATAGCATTGTTGTGGCTGGGGGACGCGCATTGGAACGCTAACAAGCTCTTGATTCCCATCATTCTAGCCTTTTTGAAAGCTACAGAAGGCAACAATAAGGTCAAACTCATTCTACTATAAATACAACCGCTTCTCATGCAATAACGACCCTCTGACTTTTGTAAATTGTGAATATTCAAACATGCCATATGACGGGGGTATATCATTCAAATCATAAGAACACCCGAAAAAGAATATCCACCGATTATAATATAAGATTGACGGACTGAGCAGGATACGCTAACTGTCGCTGGTGGACGGAATCGCATGCCAAGTACAATTTTTGCACGAACGTCGGTTGCACTCACAACACAACGTGTTGTTGCTGAAACTGTTTTCAACAGCACAATTACACTATTTGAGTGTGTCAGCTTAGTTGCAATTGACATTTGGGCTTGAGCTCTACTCACACATGTCCACATATACATATCCTTCTTTCGGCCTCGGCGATCTTCACCACTGTTTTCAGTGGAAACAGTGCTCTGAGGAGATATCGGATCAGATGGGGATGATCCGGATGAGGATCCAGACTGATCTACCTGGGGGGGCGAGGTGACAATTCTGTGGTCCTTCTCATGTACCCACTCGCTGATGTCTTTCTTGGGTACACGACGACCAGAGAAATGGTCGTCAATATGATCGCAACGTTTCGCCCAGGTGTTGTCCGTTTCTTTAATCTCAACAGTTTCCTGACAGAAGCCGCACCAAAAGTGAGCATCGCAGTGACGACCCTTTCGACAACCATCAACTTTCTCTTCGAGCTTGCTAGTATCTGTGATCTCATGCTCCTTCGAAAGGTGGTTCCGGAAGCTCTCACGGCGATAGCAAACCTTGCCACAAGGTTCAGCAGAGTCAGACTTGGCACAGTCGCATATCCATGTCTCAAGCTGGTAATGCTGAATGCTTTCATGTCTTTTCCAATCGTTCTTGCTTCCAAATGTCTTTTTACAGTCGGCAAAAGTGCAGCCGTATGGCTTTGAATGCCTCTTCTGGTGCTTCCTATAGATTGTAAGCTGAGGTATTCGACGTGGAGGCCAACAAGACTTACTTCAGCTCGCACAGACGAGGAAACGCTTTATCACAATTCTGACATTTGTGAGGGTATGTTTGGCTCTTGTTGCTCACCGTATCCAGTTTTGAAGTCTCCTCCCCGAGGCCTCCGAACCGCTTCTTCAGATAGCTTGCAATTAGCTCTTTGGGTATTTTGTCGAGGAGGTAATCGTATGCTGATTCTGGGCTCACATCCGAGGGGCTTTCACTTTCTTTCTCGTGTGAAGGAATCGCTCTGGGAGTTCGTTGGGCTTCGTCAGCGTCAATCATTCTGACATCAGCCTGTTGGCTTCCTAAGTCTCCACTGTTGCGAGAGACGTCCGTATCTGATCTTTCACCTTCCTGCACGCCGTCCATGATTTCTGGTGTAACATCGTCTGGCTGTCCAGCTTCAGAGGCGGTGATATCGTCGCCGGGCGCATCCTCCTCAGAAGCGGATACCGGCCATTGATTCGGTGGCAGAGTACTGCGTCCGTGGATAATGTCAGGGTGAATGAAGTTCTCATCACCTTCTCGTACTGTTGCGAGGCTTGATGCATCTCGATCAAAAGGCAAAGAGGGTGAGCCTCGAGGAGGATTATTGACACCGGATTGAGATTGTGAAGCTCGTCGTTCACCATAGGGCCCACGGAAGGAGAGAATAGTTGAGGGATGGGCCAAGCCAGGCGAATGTTCCTGTGCCTGGAGATATGCCATAGCACTCCCTCCCACACCCTCGAGGTCTTGTGACGGAACTGGACTGTAGTTTGTTAGCTAGCTCCGGGTACTGAGGTAAAGTAGGAGGCTAAAAAAGAAAGGGGAGAAAAGGCATACCGATGCACATATTCGGACAGGTCGTCATTGGCTGAATATATCTTTGAGTGAATTCTCTGCAAATGTGACCGGAAGTTATCTGCCCTTGGCCAAACTTTACTCTTCTTCGCACAATTGCCAATATTACACACGAAGGTGCGACCAGAAACTGTGCGATCGCTATGTACAGTTCTCTTATGTCTGTCAAGATCATTCTTAGAAGTGAAGCCTTTCTCACGCGAGCAGCCTGTAACGTCGCAGTGCCAAGGAAGGGAATGTTTCAGTTCGTGTTTTCTAGACTTGATTAGCAAAGGGGTGTTTTATGGAAGTCAGTTACATATGCTCACCTTAGCTCGGAACGTGTACGGCATCGCTTCTGGCATTCACCACAAATCCAACGCCGTTCTCCACCAACCGGAGCCGTTGCAATACTTGCGGGAGGATGAGGTCGGACCCATTGGTCTTGATATAAGTGAGCATCGTTTGTGGCTGCTTGACATTGCAGTTGAAGGGTTTCTAAGTTTCTGTTGACAAGCTGCGCATCCGCACTTTGAGGTTCCAGAGTTTGGACATCGGGGTCCATATCTTCACCATAAGCAGAAGGGTTTCCAATGCTATGAGTCAAGCGGCTTCCGTAAGCCGAATCCTCCGGGTTGGTGTCACATTCCGACAAAATTGGTTTGCTCCGGTATTCTTGATATGACGTTTGAAAGTTGGCAGATCCAATAAGTTGTGAACGGGTCTGGCCATCATTAGGCGCACCGAAGGCAAGAGGATTCCATGGATCATCTCCAGCCCAGTTCTGCCAAAAGGGGTTCGTGGCCTGATGTCTCTGCTGACCCAGAGCAGCCAGGTTCGAGCTCTGCTGTTGAGCCGCCTGTGGGGATACATTGGCGCCGGCTCGCTGGTCCTGCGGAGAGCTAAAGGAGTCCATGGCGAGGGTGCAATGCCGATACTGGTATCAATGTGGGCGAATGCAATAAATATATACAATATCGAGCCGTACTGTGTGTCCGAGCAACGCCGATAGTGACGATAATGGGGAGCCCAGGGATGATCGAGTGAATGAACAAAAGACGTCACAGCGATTCAAGAGGGGCTAGGACCTCTAGTTAGCCTTTATATTGCAGCAGTGTATCATGTTCGGATCGGGTTGATGCACTGGAGGACTAAAAGGTCATCCAAATCTGGAGGGGACAACAAGGTTCTCGACCAAGCAACGGCGATCTACCTGGGTAGAACGCTGGGACGAAACATAGCAACCAGAAGAATCAAAGGAATAAAAAAGCATACATTGAGCTGGGGTCAATAGCTTGGTCCAGCAAACAAGCGTTGAGTCCAGAGTCCCAACAAGGGATCCAAGGCGGATGACTGATCGACAGATACTAGCGTGAGGTTTGTGTCAAGACAACACCGAGTCTGAAAAGGGAGACTGCTCAAGGCCAAAGAGGCCCCCAGGTGGTTGAGCGAGTTGGTAGCTGGGTACACTAATGATGGTCTATGTGGTGTTGCGAGTTGCCGTATTGTGCTTCGTGTCAAGATGTCACTACCAAAGTAGTATGAGCCATAGGTAGGTAGGCACCGAGAACTATGGGTTGGCTTAGAAGAAGGCAAGAGGCAAAGGAGGATGCAGAAGCGCAAACGAAGATGAAAGTGGCGGGGGGTGATGGGGAAATAGAGGAGGGAAGAGTCACCGTGATGAAACAAAGTAATAGACCGGAGGTATTGTATTTGGCAAAGTACAATTCCAGATGATGTATGAGCGACTCTGTCTTCCCTGAACCGCCTCACTTTGAGGCTTTGCGATGAATTTAAACCAATCAGCATTCTTCTTTCAACCCCCAAGATACTAGGCATCCAGCGAGGCAACCTTTGTTCGCCCGCTGAGGAGACTTAGCAAAAAAGGCGTATTTGCGAACCATCAATTAATGATGCGGCTCAATCTACAATGATTATCATCATATGTCTAGATACGTCACCAGTATATGACTAGAACATCTCCGTATGAGACCATTCGATGTTCTTTTTCACAACTTGACGCTACGAATCAGTACCTGTCCACTTACCTAATCATTCACGATCATCAGGACTAAACAAACGATCACGACTATCGCCGTTATTTTGTATCATCTACAAAATCAGGGCGTGCGGCTTACCATGTGGTTGACTGTCCCGATTCAAAAATTTGTCAAAATGCTCAAAAGCTCTACAGTTTCCGTTGATTCCCAGATGGATATTGCTCAAAGTCAGCCTACCGAAAACACCCCTTATTGCACACCAAGCTCTTTTTCACATTACAATTATGGCAATGATGCTCCATTATTCATGAATTTTCTTATATCTAAGATGAATAATCAGTCCATTACGGGCCTATATCTCTCTAGGACAGTCACTAGAATACCCAATGACACCAGCTACACGCCTTTGTATGTCTCAATATCTGCACATCTCTTCATAACTCCACGATGTTGTCCGTTGTCTCTTCTCTCATCTGCTTTTTTTTATCCAACTGGATTTGGCTACATGCATTCGCGCGGTTCTTTAGTAACCTTGGTAATATCTGCATCTTGCCGAAAATCCCACTCTTTATCCTGGATCAAAATCCTCGAGTCCGAATGTGGCTGAACGAAAACGAACCAAGAGATCTTTTCATGATCAGGCTTAAATGTAAATGGCAGTGTTAATCTCTTGGGGGAGCAATGTATATCGTGCGAGGATTGTCAGCCATACTTCAGCTCATGTCTAGGCCCGTTAGGTTGAGAAAGATAACACCAGTACCAGCGACTACTACGTATGCCTGTCCCTCTCAAGTTTAACCCTCGGCCAATACGAAGCCACAACATCCCATGACTCTCAAGTGAGAGGTGGTATTGGTGTTCTTGTTGATACGGCATTCCAGCTGCCGCCAAAAGAAGCTCTTCAGCTCAATTTAAATAAAAATATAAATAAAAAAACCTCCGCCAACTACCATGAGACACACTGTAACACGAGACTCGAATCCTCACTGACCCCACGTTCGGATAATCACTTTTGTCTCTGCAGCCAGCTCTTTCCAGCAGCTGCAAGGAAGATGTACAGCTGAGACCATCCTTGGTTGCAGATAGCCCATTGAATAAGTCATGCGTTATGTCGATTCCTCAAATATTTTGGAAGTCAATTGGATGACGGAGACTAGAACCCTTGTATTCTGACCGACAGCTGGATGAACCAGGAACCGGGAAAAGGAGGAAACGACAAGAGAAAATATTTCAATGAACGAACTCTGGAGCCGGCGTCGGCTCTCTTACTATAAAACATGCAACCTTTGCCACTGATTAGTCGTTATCACCAATTCTGTTCGCTGTCATCTACGGATTCAGTTTGTTAGTCACTTACTCATAACGTTTAGCCTCATAATTCAGACTCCTTGCTGCGACTCAGGAAACTCCTGTAAGTATTAACTGCCTAACATCGAAGGTCGTCTAAATAACATAGTGCACATCAGGATTAGGCAAGACAAAAGCTATTGCCACAATAACAAAAATGTGCGACTGGGAAGAGTTTCTTTTCGCATGCAATCACTCAACCCTTCGCCTCAAATCATACTGCCACTTTGCTCGCAACGACCCTAATCATCAATGTTTTGGCGTCAAAGTCCTTCGCAAGTCATGGAGACAATGCGTTCCCTGTGACAACTGTGCCATCGCTTGGCGGGCAAGTGAATCTCAGACGCAGAATAACTACGATCAGGGCCAGTCTTTGCACAGACATGGCTCATAAGTTTGGAGGCTTTCGATCAGTTATTCATTTGGGTTGTCAATGTTTTATTAGTGTTGTTGACTAAGGATTTCATCTGGTTCATCCCCTTGTATGAATATTGGGTTCTTAAATGCCATTACCTCTATTTTTGTCAATCATGTCGTATACATGAGTAGAAATCACCACCGAGATAGTTATAGACGCAGCACACGTGTGGGTCAAGCTACACTGTAGGACCAAGCCAGCAACATGCATGAACCTTTTTTCGGTCACCAAAGATCTCATATGTGACACGTAGTGACGCTCAAGAGTCGCCGTCCAAGTCTATTCGTCCAGAAACCAACATTCGTGTGAAACTGGGCTGTCAGGCGTGGATGCCACCCCTGGTTCTTCTCCGGTCAGAGACAGGCTACAAACCGGTCCCGAACAGCGCCACAGACGAAATGATGGAACGAAATGGTGATGTCTAGGATAGAAGCGCTGCGGGCCCGTTTTGTGTAACGCTGTTTGTGTGAGAGAACTAAGTTGGCAAAACATGAAAGCTGCAAGGGGGTGGACTTACAGCGGAGGATCTACTACCTATGACCAGGGTTTGTCTCAATTGAGTAACTATACAAGGACATGTTGTGGCTTGAGAGAGAGAAGTGGGCGTTTGTGTCATGGGTCTTGAGACAGTCTCTCGACATGTCGACCAAGTACAGTATCCAGTCATTGGGCGAGATAATGCAGTGTAGATCCTTCGAGCTTCCATAGGCTCACGGCAGCGGAGAATAAGGAATTCGAATCACAGCTGACAGTACACAAAAAGAAGACATTGGAATTGAAAATGGAGAATTTATAACTTGACTTGAGTACTCGGAGGGCACTCGGCTAGTCAGTCAAAGTTCGTAGCACCTTCAACAACACCAACGACGTTGTACCGCTTGGAAAAGAAAGTGATCCAGTCATTCAATACGCCCTTTTCCTTCTCATCCAAATCCTGCCACTCTGGTCGTGCGTCCTCTGGCTTGGTCGAAGTCTTGCCGAGAGCTCTTGAGGCATCCTTGCCAGCAAAGACTAGTGGGAACAGTTAGCTATCCTGTGTTGTAGCATATGCAATTAGAAAATTTACCATTGTAGGAAGCTCCAGGAAGGTAAGCCTTGTTTCCAGTAACGTCGTAGACCTTGCCCTATGTTTGACGTGATCAGTCGTGCGAGGATCAGACGGGTCATGCAGCGAGTTGCTTGCTATGGGAGATTATACCTTGATAGCTACGTAGCACTTGTTTCCATCCGCACCTTTTTTAGGTTAGTAATGCTCAATACAAAGGTTCCAGATACAGAATTAAGTCAAAGTCGGCATGATGTCTTGCTGAGCATCATGAGGGGGGCGGGCCGTACCGTTGGCCTTAGCGAGCTCTTCTTGAGAGATGATGTCGTCCTTTGGGGGGTCGAGGTTCACGGGAACCTTAGGCTCAAACTTGCCAGCCATTATTGTGGTTGTAGTTGTGATTGTAGTGTAAGATTGAGTAATAAGGGAGTAGGTTTGATAGTTTTAGGACCTTTCTTGAGATTCCGTCATATGCAATCTCTCCCCTCCCCCGCCAAAACCAAAGACGACCCTGAACTTTCCCGTCCAAAAAGCCTCGGCCAAGTCAACTTTAGCGGGTTCCGAAGCTGCCCTCCACTAAAGAATCTCATTGATTGGAAACGCACAGGCCAGTATTCGTCCAGGAAATGGTCTGTGCGTAACCATGATGAGCTCCATGTTGACATCCACTTACAGCTTTTCAATCTCTAGGCTCATCATCATCACCACAACCACACGAAAAGAAGCCCTGGTCGTCGCTCGCCAAGCGACTCATCAACCGGCTTGCCATGTCGGTCTCAGCAGTTGCCTCGCTGAGGCCCCTCCGTTGGAGGTGCTCGCAGCATCCGGCCTCTGGCCTGCTATCTGTCCAATTACGGTCGCGAACAGCCACCGTCAACTTTCGTGCCGTTGTTCACCTCCGGCCGGACCAGCGTCGATTCCAGACAACCAATTCGTCAAATAATCGCCATGATGGAGATCTCGAAGCCAGAAAGAATCAGTTGCCCAAGAAAAGCCAGCCAACACAACCACAGATCACATTCCGCCAATTCGCAGGTCGTGCTCTTGCTGCTGGCCTACGTAGTCTCGTAGTCGCCATGAGTCCAACCGGTATCAAGACAGCGTTC